TGCAGCCGTCATTGTTGTTTGGCGGGTCCGGGCTGGGGATTCGAACCCGCCACCTTAGGTGTACGTGGCTGGCACCTTAGCCGGTTGAGCTATAGGCGCCAAGCCGCAGCCTCTTTTTATAAACTTACAGCAGTGATGTCTACGTGGAGAGGAGGAAAATGACCCCTTTGGATCAGTGTGCTCCTCACCTGTGACTGTCATCTTCTTCTCCTGGGACTTGCCCTCTGAAAGACTCCTTGTTTCATCAGGCCCCCACCCTTTGCCTTCCTGGCCCTTAACTAGTATGTGCTGCTCCTCTGTGGCCCTGAGTCACATGCTACCTACCCCAGGGGGACAGGAAAACATTTAAAAGTGGTAGAGGTGGGATGGGCCTCGATTTGCTGAAGCTAAGTAATGGGCACATGGGAATTCATTGTATTGCTCACTGTTGTATACATATGAATTTTTAATAATAAAACATCTGAAAAACAAAAATGGTAGGGCATAGGCGCTGAGCAATTAGGACAGAGAACTGGCCATGAGCATTTGCCTCCCCTCTCCCTGCTGTGATCAGGGGCACAGGGGAGAAAAGCCTCTCCTGGGGCCTATCTGTCCCCCTGGACACCCTGGTGACCTAGCTACAGGCCCTTCTTCTGCCCTTTTGGGGAGGGGAATAGGAAACCCTGTTTGTGCTTTTTAAAGGCAGAAACCTTTAAAGACTCTATTTATCATCTCCACAAATCAACATGTCCTGGAAATGCCAACATCTGGGCATCCTAACTATGTCTCCCAGACTGGTTCTTGGAAATGGTACAATAGCCTTTATAAGACAGTGTGCCCCGATTTGGGGTTCACAGAACAGGGTCATTGTATCCATATGACTCAAAAAAAAAAAATGCCCAGCAAGCCTGGGAAAGTGGTAACTGAGGCATGGGGTACTTGGTCCCTCACCTCTGCCACCTTAGGGGCCTCCTCTACCCTGGGGAGCTCTCCCACTTTGGAGCCAGGCAGACAACTGATAGGGAAGCATCCTGGAGCTCATTCAGCCCTCTCCTCTCTGCAGGAAGTCCAGGCCCAGACAGGCTGCTGGCTGGTCCAGCCTCTTCCCCCACAGGCCTCCCAGGAAGAGCAAGGATACATTCCCAGGATCACAGCTTCCAGGCATTTGATTGGCAGAGCCTCTTTGGTCATTTCCTTGGCCAGGTCCATCAGCCTGCAGGAAAGGGAGGTAGAACTGTGAGGACAGCCCCTCCAGCCCTTCCGGTGGGAGACTGTGAGGAGGAGGGGAAGGGCAGACTAGTCACCACCACCCCCTCAGCCCCTGCAGCTGCTCTCAGCTCAGGCCCAGCCCCCACCCCGGGGTGGGGGGGAGAGGCAGCCACTGGTGATGGAAAGGAGGAGTCCTCCACCCCCTTCACTTCCTCCTCCCTGCCAGGCCCCTGATCCACAGCCCTCTGGGGGAGGAGTGTAGAGGGGGGTAGGCAGAGGGGGGCCCTTGACAGCCACTGGACTGGGGCCTCCTGTGAGGGCACTGAGGGAAGGTAGGGATCTCAGCATTGATCTATTCCTTGTGGAACACCCCAGTGGACACCCCTGATCCAACCAGGCTTCTCAGAAGAGCTTGCTAATTGATTGTGATTGTTCCCTTGCAGCTGCTGGGCCTGGATGTAGGATCTCAAGCAGACAGCTGCCTAGTGACTCCCCAGCCTGCTCCTGAACTTGCACTTTAGGCCATTTTAAGACAGCCTATCCCTGAGTGCTGCTTCCTCCCTCCTCACCAAACACTGTCTCACCTAGGGATTTAGCCCGGCTAGCGGCTTTGCTTGGAAGAGGCCAAACTCTTCCCTGTCATGAGGCTGGAGTGGGCCCCCAGCACATAGTAGCCACAGGACAAGAGCTTTGGGGTTAGCGAGGTTAGATTCCACCCAGGGCCTTGGAGAAGGAGTAATTAATTCTGCTAATAAACCATTTAAGTATTTTTTCACATGAAGGCAAACATAGGTTATGTGGGGTGCAAGATGTAAAATTTACATTAATTGTTAAAACCTGGGGGGTCTTACATCCTTGGGCATCTTTAGGCTGAGCCCCCAGACCTTAGGCATTTACTCCTCACTGTCCTCTGCCCTCGGGGCTTCAGTGGCAGAAACTTTCTAGAGCAGAGAATCTAGCCAGGGGTCTACACTCTGGGGCTATGCTGGGAAGTGAGAGATGAACATTCCTGTGGGGACCCTGTTGCTCAGACATGGGGCCTTCTGCTAAATGACCAGCAGAGTCCAGTAAGGCAAATGGGGTGACAGGACAGGTACCCTGTAAAGGCGAGGGACAGGCAGCTGTGGGAACAGAGCCTGCTCTGTCCTCTTCTCAATGACCTGTGGTTCACCCACAGTCCACCTGGGGCCACCCTCTCTCCTCACCAAGGCAAACTGGAAGGCTCCCCCCTCCCTTGCTAGCTCAGCATGGATGTTGGGGTTTTCTTCTCATCAAAGTAGCCCTGGTTATTCTCAGTGATGTCTCCCTCTGTGTGAGACCTTAAGGACCCCTGTCCTCATGGCAGGTTTCCCTGGACAGAGTCCCTGCCTGTCCATAAACTTCTACTCAAGATACACCAGAGGCTCCCTGTCCAGCCTGGGGCAGAGGGACGGTCACCCAAACTCACCCTGTCAGAGGTCTGCTCTTCTTAATTTCAAAGAACTGTGTCCCTGTGTGATTGTACCTGCAGGCACCAGTTAAGGGCTTCTTGGCCAGGTCTAAAAGAGGTTGTCCCTCTCCCCCTGCCCATCTCTCCTAGATGCTAGAGATGCAGCACTCCCAGTGGTGCAGGCTGGTTAGGACCCCAAAAATGCCTCCTGCAAGCCACCTTGGAGCATGCTCAAGACGTGTGTCTCCTGGCAGGGTCCTCTCCCTGTCCTCTCCCTTCTCTTCCTTGGCTTCATCCTTATTCCCCTGGAGCCTCCCTTCCCAGGACAAGGAGCATCAGCCAGCCCCACCAGGGACAAGGTTGCAGCTGGGAACCTCTTGGTATCGCATCATTTTCCAACCAGCTGAGAAGTGACATGGACTGAGAGCAGGCAGCTAGGGGCAGGGGACCAATGTGGCCGCTAACCGCTGGGTGCGCCTGAGCTAACCACCTCCCTATTAGGCTACAGCTGCCCAGCTGGTAAAGAGAGGGGCTGGACCCATTTCCAGTCATTAGCCTGGCCTTTCCCCACCCAGGACCCTTGCCCGGTTCTCCCACCTCTGACCTCATCTGCAGCAGGAAAGCTGGGGCAGGGCACAGGGCCTAGAGGGGCCCAGAGCACAGATCCTGGGGAACCTTGACTCAGGGAAGCCCAGCTCTTTCCACGCTGGGTAACCAGCCTCCTGAACGGTAAGAGCTGGGAGAAAATTCCAAGATGTGGAAGTTACCTCCTGGAGCAGGAAACCCCTTTTCGCTTCCATTTCCCCTACTTTTGCAACCAGTCCTTTGATAGCCCAAGGCAGTTGTCTGTTTTCTCTGCTAGGGCTGGATGGTGACAGAGGAGCTCCCAGCTTGACCACCCCACCAGCAAGTCCCTCAGGACCCCTCTCCCTCTCTTTGCCCCAACACACGGTGAGAGGAGAAAGTGGGCGGCAGAGTCTGGAGCAGGCCCAGCTCTCCAATACCAGGAGGGGGAGTGCATATACCATGTGTATACAGCTTCAGGAGCACAGAGGTCCCCCCAAAATGGTACCCCTGGAGTTTGAGGAATGAGGCAGCTTTGCTGACTTGGCCTTTGGACCCTGCACTGTAGCCAGGAGGTGGCCATGACCCTAGACCAAGAAGGATACTGCAGCTCCCTGATGTAGCGCTGCACAGCTTCCAGGCGCTCAGGGACGGGCGTAGACGGCTGAAACGTAGGCACACTCGGTATGGGAATCTGGGGACAGAGGAAGACAGAGACAAAGCTCTGGTCACTAGAGCTGACCAGGAGCTGCCAGCCCACCACTAGACCCCAGAGGAGCCCCACCCTTGAGAGGGACAACCTCCCTCCCTTGCCCTGAGTCTCTTCTCCTGGCCTCCTCTCCCTCTGGAGACTTCTGCCAGGGCCTGTTCTAGTCACTCCTTCCCTCCTGGCACCTGATGGCATTCCTAATTTGGAGCTTATGTCAATGATTCCAATTTCTTACTTCTTTAATAAATTTAGAAAAACACAGGTTGATTCACCAACTGTTCTGAGTATTTTTTTTCTTCTGAGACAGAGTCTATCACCCTGGGTAAAGTGCCACGGCATCATAGCTCACAGCAACCTCCAACTTGTGGGCTCAAGCAATCTTCTTGCCCCATCTTCCCAAGCAACTGTGGCTAATTTTTCTTTTCTTTTCTTTCTTTTTTTTTTTTTTTCAGTAGAGACAGGATCTCACTCTTGCTCAGACTAGTTTTGAACTCCTGAGCTCAGGCAACCCACCCCCCTTGGATCACGGGGGTGAGCCATTGGTGAGCCCCCACTCTGGCCTGTTTTGAATTTTAAACAGTCATTAACTTAAAGGCTTTACGGGAATGACAACATTGGGGTTAAGTTCCTTTGGGTTTGAAGTTTACTCTGGTTCAAGTGCTACATCAAAACTGGTTTACCTGATGTCCTATCCTCTCAGGGTGGTACTGTGTGCTAGGGTAGTGGTCCCAGGAGGGAAATAGGTATCCCCAGCAGTAAATGTATGTATCACCCACCCAGTAACACTGGCATATTTACCAGACCTTCCAAAGCCCCAATTTGAACAGTCAAGGAGTTAAGCTGGGGCAGCAGGCAGAGAGACATATTTTGGGACAGGTCTTGCCATGGCTCTACTTGCTGGGGCCCAGACACCTTGGAGAAGTTTTCATAGAGGCCCAGAGGCCCGAGGCTCTCCGTCAGCAGCTCCCTTTTCCACCAGCTCCACACCTAAGCAGTCCGGCTGTAACCAGCAGTCCTTCCCACTAAACGTCCTTTCTAGCACCCAGCTGAGAAAGGGAGGAGAAGAGCTTGAGTTGGGCAGGTGCCTCCGGATGACTGGGAACTGACAGGCAGTGGGGCTGCCAGGCTGCTGTGCCCCTGCGGCTGTCTCTCAGCCACCAGGCAGTCTCCAGGATGGAGGCCACTGCATAGGTGTGGGCCCTCTCTCCAGCCAGCGGTGCCCAGATCCTGGCAGTTTGGCTCCAACAGGTCAGGGAGGTGGAGAAAGCCGAGAGGTACATCAACTAGGGACCTCTGGGGCTTCAGAACAGATTTTCCAGGGGGACAAGGCATCCCCAAGGGACAGCTTTTTTAAATACTGTGACTGCAGTGCCAGGGCTCTGACAAAGGGGAAAGTGAAACACCAGTTATCACTGTACACTTGTGTCTGGGGTGCTGCTGATGGCAAGGGGCTGGGAACAGTGTTCAACAGACACCTACTTGCTCTAGAGTGGAGATAAAAGAGGGAAGGACCCCCGGTCCAGAGTGACAGCTTTGCATCAATTTCCTCCCACTCCTTCCCTGCCTTCCACTACTTCCTGTCTGGACAGTCCCAAGTGACCACACTGCCTGCCTGCCCCTGAGCAGCTGACACCTCTGTGTGGAGGAAGCCGTTTCCCCTTTCACATCACTCCCTTCCTAAATTGGCCCTACCACTTACAGACACCAGCTGAATAAAAGCCCAGGATGGGGGCCACCCCTTCTTCCTGCCTGCTACCCAGTGCCAAATGTGCTCCAGGCCCTGAGCTGGCCTCCCCTAGATCAAGGATATGCAGGTGGGGAGGTGGGAGAGGAACTGGAGGAATTACTTAGCAATTTACTATAAACAGCAAGGCACATCCACCATCCAGTCCCCTGACCTCCTCAGGTGGCAGGCACCCTCACTTGTCCCTGGAGCTTTGGGTAAAGAAAGAGGAACACTGCCCCCTCCATGAGATGCTCCAAACAGGGAGGGAGCTGCAGGCTAAAACCCATCTGTCCAAGCTTGCTCACAGCCAGGGCTGGGCCAGGGCCAGGCAGAGCCCACAAGGACTAGCACCTGCCATCCAAAGCACCCAGGAACAGGCTGCTCTGTGAGGAGAAGTTCAAAAGGGCCTGGGACTCACAGGCAGGGCCTTCCAGGCCTCCACCAATGTGACAGCTCCTTGGCTTGGGTCATCCCATCACAGACAGCGTCAAGACCTTTTTTTCTGAATGTTCATTACTAGCATAGACACATTTACTCAAACACAAATAAGAACCTGTATACCAAAGGCCCAAGCCCACTTCAGGACTGGCTGCCCACTGCCACCTTCGGAACAGGAGCCAGGAAATACTTCCTCACTGTTGGGGGTGGGCAAGTGATATAGTCTCCCCAGCTCTCTCAGGGGCAGCTCCTTCTCCACAGCCAAGGCCATGGCCTTCCCTTGCTCCAGAAGCACGCTGGGTCCTGAGCTCTGCTCAGACCCTTGGTAGAGTTGTGTATGAAGTGGCCTGGGGGCAGCAGGGACATCCTGTGGCCCGGGTGTGCCTGAAGCAATACAGCCTAGAGCAGTGATTTTCACCCAGTGTGCTGTGGCAAACCGGTATGCATGGAAGGATCTTAGGTGGGACACAAAAGTTTCTAAAGATCATTAATTAAAGTTCAAAGCACAGTAAGTATATTCCATTTTTTTCATTAACATAATTTAAGTGTGCCTTGGACGTTTAACTATAAGTTCAAGTGTGCTGTGAGATAAAAAAGGTTGAAAAGCACTGGCCTAGAGTAATGGGGCTAACTCTCAAACTAGACCATCACTACCACAATGCAGCTCTGCCATTTACTGTCTGGTGACTTTACCTCCATGGTGCCTCAGGCACCTCACTTGTAAAGTGGACATCAACACGGAAGCAACCTCAGAGCATGAATACGATATGGCAGGTCAAGGACTCAGAACAGGTCTGCCACACAGCCAAGGCTCAGTTCCTGCTCACAGGCATTGCTATGCATGTGTGCCAAAGACAGCAGTCAGCACATCGCTGATCCCAGCAATGCTGCCCTTTTGGAGGAGATGACCAAATTCCCTCTCTGTAGGAGGTCAGAGCCAAAGTTAGAAGATGTTCAGCTGCTGGGGTGGAGGTCAGTGGCCAATAAGCTTAAAACATGATGGTGGCAGCTTAAAATGTGAAGGCGAGACTTTTATCAAGGAGTATAAATGTTGCTGGATTTGGGATCCTTTTAGAAACTGCTGCCTTATAATAAATATACTGGCATCACCCTTGGAAAGGTCATCTCTCCAAAGTGCTCCTGGGGTGTTTAGCTTCACACTCACTTCTTACATTCCTTACTGGGTACCTATCAGAGAGGCTCACCTGATGAAGCATCACACACTATTTATTTTTCTTTTCTTTTTTGAGACAGAGTCTCCTTATGTCACCCTTGGTAGAGTGCTATGGCATCACAGCTCACAGCAATCTCAAACCCTTGGGCTCAAGCGATTCTCTTGCCTCAGTCTCCCAAGTAGCTGGGACTACAGGTGCCTACCACAACACCCGGCTATTTTTGTTGTTGTTGTCATTATTTTTTAGCAGGCCTGGGCCAGGTTCAAACCCACCAACCCCGGTCTATGTGGCCAGTGCCCTAACCATTGGACTACCAGGGCCGAGCCCATCATACACTTTATAACATTAATTCCTCTCTACATCCCCTGAAGTGAACCCTGCTATGATCCCCATTTTACGGCACAGGAGGTTGCACACCTTCCTCAGGTAAGTAGTTGTGGGAGAGCAAGGATCCAGCCTGGTGGATTAAACTCTAGAATGTTCTCTTTCTATGACTACCCAATAGGGGTCCTGGACTCAACTGCCTACAAGGGCCAGGCAGGTAACACAAATGGAGAAAGAGGGATGGGCAGGTGAATGGTGGGGACTCTGCAAACAGGGGTTGGAGGACACCACTCCTTAGCCCCAGCTGACAGCTGCCACACAGGATTGCAGATTCTCTGTTCCCAAACTGTCTTGTTTTCTGAAAAGTTGCCAGGAATTTGGATCTGCATGTGAAAAGCTCCCAATTTTAAATTTTGGCTCAAGTGGTCTTTCAAATCATTGTGCAGTCCCACCAAAACACTTCTTAGGCTCCTCACAATGTGACCTCTACCAGCATAGCCCGGCCCCTCTGCTGCTGGTACTCTGCCACCCAACCTCCCTGATTTTCTCCAAAACTTCCTAGACGCTGTCACACCCTTAGACTCTAAGGGCTCCTGTGTACTCTGGGCCCTGGGAGGGAAGGAACTTCATGCAGACTCATGTAGTTCCCCTATCTGAGATACTTGTCCCATGGTTCAAGTAGGGGAAGTTTCAAATTTTTCCAAACCTCTTAAACCTCTTACAAAATTTCTTTTGCCCTACTGTGCTCCTGTCAGGCAGGATGCCCCTCCTCGGATAATACAGGGGGTCTTCCTCATTGGTGTCTCTCTTACGAATGAGGACTTAAGGTGACAAGATGATGTTACAGACCAGTCACCAATAAGCTCACTGACTTTTTTTTTTTTTCCCTAGGAGTGGTGACAATTTGGCAGGGAACCATTCACACTCTCCTATGGCCTGATTTAGACACAAGCAGGATGGCTGGGAAGCTGTCTGCTCCACACCAACTTGCTCATGTGGGAGCAGCGTGCGACTCTGGCCTCATTGGATCCAATGTTCTGAGTGAAATCTAGTCTCCTCTCCTGATGTAGGATGTGAAAAAGCTAATGAACATCCAATAACTAGTACTGGTTTGGGGATTTACCCCTTGTCTACTGCTTTAACACATTAGTCGCTCATCTTCCCATCAGTCAACTCCACTTTACTGGGGAGAAAATCGGGGTTTCCTAAGGTCATACAAATAGGCAATGTCCATATTCTTTGATGTGATACTTTCTCTTTCAGGAATTTATCCCAAGGAAATAATCCAATATGAACTCCAAAATTTGTTTTAGAATGTTCACTACAGTGTTCATTTTAAGAATAAAATAGGGGAAACAATATGCGACCATAGGAGATTAGCTAAATAAATTGTAAGTCAGTTCAGAGGAAATTATGCAGCCATTCAAAATCAATCTACATTTTATTCCCTCTGGAAATACTGAGCAGCTGACTTACCTTCCCGTCTCAGCCTCTAGACTACGAAGGACCACAGTCAGGTGAGAGACACCATACCTGGGTAATTTTTTAAAATTTTGGTAGAGAGGGAGGGTCTCACTATGTTGCCCAGGCTAGTCCTGAACTCCTGGCCTCATGTGATCCTCCCACTCTGGCCTCCCAAAGTGCTGGGATTACGGGCATGAGCCACCACACCCCATCCCAGAAGACATTTTCTTATGGCTCTATCAATAACCTGGGAAAAAAAACAAAGCTGAACAGGCCACTTGTCCCCACATCTAATTTATACTAACTGCTTAGCGCCTTCCTTCCCACCTGAGCAGGCAGAACTAACCAGGAGGCTCTGACCTCTGTTCAGAGAGCTCTGTTTTGGGAATTTCAGGTCTCTTCATTTGGGAGAATGCTTCCTTAGTCTGAACCATAATGTTCTTTTAAAAAACACCAGGCATGTATTTCCATACAGCACTGTAAAGCAGAGAAAGTCTCAAATACCCTTTCATTCAACGAACACACACATAAGTGCCTGTTCTGTGCCAGGCACACAGGAGACCTTGGGAAGACAAAGATGAATGAGCCATAGCCTACTGGCCATGACACTTGACAGAGAGCCCTGGTGGAAAAGTTCCAGCAAACAGAGAAACCTTACTTCACTTTACCCCTCTCCACTTCTAATCTCCCTGAATCTAGCGTCCAGCAGAGGAGAGGACCAGGAGCCTCTGAAGACCTGGGGTCGCCACTTACTGGCCATGGGACCTTGAGTCCCTACTTGGGTTTTTGGCTTTCTCATTTGTAAAATGGGGACTCAAACCACACTTTCTTGATAATATAAACTGTTCGGAGAATTTAGTGGAATAATTCGTGAAAGTATTTTTTCAACAAATGAAGCCCTATGTTTCCTTAATCCTTCCTTATCTGTCTGTTCACAGTTCTCTGGCTTCTTAGCATCATCAGGCAAATAGGATAATCAACCCAAACTAGTGTTAGTTTATCTGCCCTTCCCCCCCATAAAACATGGGCATTTTAAAAGACACTGGGGGAGAGCTTCCCAGAGACAGGCATGTGAAGGAACCTCCCTCATGACTGACACTGGAGAAAAAGTTCTTCCGGACAAGCAAGACCTTACTGTGCCAAGGGTCCCCCACAGGAAGAAGAGTGTGGCTTTGCTCTCTCAGTCCTAGGATCACTAACATACTGTGCTATCTATTGCCGCCACACACACACCTCACCTTGGGTAGGTCGGTGGCCCCACGGATCCGGTGCGCCACCTTCTCTCCATCCGGGTGGATCTTGGCCACGTGTTTCCACATCCTTTCCCAGGTGGCCTCATCCACAGGCAGTCCACCCCGGTTGACAAAGAAGGGGACGCCTCCCTCTCGCAGGTCCTCTTCCCCTTCCTCCTCTGGCTCCTCATCTCTCTGGGCTGAGGCCCCTTCGCTGGTCTCCAAACGCCTGACCCCAGAGGGGGCAGCAGCAGCAGCAGCAGTGGTGGCAGCACTGCCGCCGCCACCCCCGACCACCTTCTTTCCCCCTGGCATCCCTAAATTCTTGGTGGGGTGGGAAGATGTCTCAGGAGGCGGGAAAAACAGGTGGCTCACAGGAGTCCTCCCACACACCGGCTGCAGAGATAACACATGGCTAGAGTGGAAGGCCCCTTTAAGAAACCAGGGCGTGGCTCCTGCACAATAAAATACTACTCAATGAGAAAAAAAAAAATCAGTGCAACAACGTGGAAGTGGGGACCGAAGGGGTGGCTGTCAGGGGTTAGCCTTAAAAACCTCGTTCTGTTTGCAAAATGGGATAAAGAGAACACACCTCAACTTGGTACCCTTCACAAAGCACCCCCATTTGATAAGAACAATAACGGGTAGCAGTCTGGGCTGGCAAAGAGAAAAGTCGGAGGGAAACTGAGGCCAGATAACTCAGACCTGAGGCCACAGAAAGGAAGGCTCAAGGCACAATGCCCAGTGGGCGCCCGGGTCCCAGTTTTGGAGAGAACAAATTCCTCTACAAAACCTTTGCACGCTCACACTTGCGCGCGCCCCAGAGGGGACCAAGGCGACTCCCGGCAGCCAGAGCTCCTAACCGGGACCCCCGGACGGGAGAGTGGCGCTGGGGGGCGATCTCTACCAAGTGACGAGACGAGTCCAGGAACCAAGACTCGCAGCTGGCGGGGACGGGGAGGAGGCGCGCGCCGACACGCACATTCCACGCCCGTGACCAACTCCCTGCACAAAGTGGGCTTTGTCTGGGCCCCCGGTCCCCTCGGTCCCGGGAAGCAGCAGCAGCGCCCCGAGAAAGGGAAAGGGCGCGGCAAGGAGGCGAAGGCTGGGAGCGCTAAGGCCCAGCCGGTCCCCAGCCGGTCCCCAGCCAGGCGCGTCTCAGCGGGTGTACGGCGGGCACCCGGCGCCGCGCGGCGCCAGCCAAGCCATTGCGGGGCACGGGTCCCGCGCCAGGGCCCGGGGTTCAGGGGGACCGTCTAGGGAGGCGTGCAGGGGCCAGGCTGAGGTCACCGAGCGGCGGGCTTCGGCCGCGGGGTCGCTGCCCCGGACTGGCTGCAGCATGGGCGGTGGCGCGGCCGGGCGGGCGAAGGATGCTCGGCGGCTGTTGGCTCTGCCCACAGCTGCCCTGGCTGAGGGGCGGAGGAAGGACCTCGGGGCGGGGACCGCAAGCTGGGAGGCTCGCGCAGCCCCAGCCGGCGGATGTAGCTGGAGGCGAGTGACAAAGTCAGGAGGAGGACGGGCTGCGCTGGCCCCCGGGGAGCAGCGTGCAAACGCGGAGTCCACGAGCAGATCGCGGTTCAGCAGCTCGGCTAAGCTGGGCCGCCGCTGCAGCCCCCGCCGCCCCAGGGCCCAGCTGCAGCCGACCGCTTCCCCTGCCTGCCCGCCGCCCACCAGGCTTGACTCCGGCCCGTGTCGCGCATGCGCTCCGTCCCCCCCTTAAAGGGCCAGCGCTTTCCCTCCCGGCCCAAGTCCCCCCCGCAGCAGTCCCTTTGCCTCAAATTATCTCACGCATGCGGATGGGGGTTCGCTCCCTTCTCTCATCTCTCTCAGGGCGCGGCGAAGCCAGTGCAGACCTGCGAAGGAACTTTACAACGTACCAAACTGAGCGCTAAGTCCACGGGGATTTCTGGCCAGGAAAGAACTTTTGCGGCCGTGAATTTCCTAAAGGGGGTGTACCTAGCCTGGGCACGCAGCATGCAGAAGCGAGAGCAGTGGCCTGGAAGACTGTTGTGCTGGGGGACCTTGAACAGATCACTTCCCTCTATAGGCCTTAGTTTCCACATATATCAGTTAAGGTAGCCTCATTGGGGGGAACTCAGAGTCCATTCTGGCTTTCCTTCAGGGAGGACATCTAGGGGTTTGAGGTTACTACCTCTGGAAACGAAAGAGTTGTAAGCCAGTCACTATTCTGTCCCACCGGTGGGAGCGGGGTGCGCAGAGTGCTTTTTGTCCACCTCTTCAGACCGGATTTTAGACACCGCGGTTTTATAAGACCGGGAGGGACAGATGCAGCTCCCCAGGGTCATGGGAATGGGGAGAGTCAGCCGAAGGTGAAAGTACAGCAGATTGAGGCGTGTGGCCCCTGGACTTTGGAGACTCTACGCACCCTCCCCTCCCCCATTCCACAGAGCTGCAGCTCTCAGAAAATGCACTAATACTGAGCAGAAGTGAAGACCTTTACTAAAAGTCCACATCCAAGTGCGTCTCTTCCCCTCTCCCCTGCTGGTAGTTAAAATGAATAACCGTCTATCTTGCAAAAATGCAGATTCCTGGGCCCAAGTTGGCAGATTAAGATTTTTCAGGTCTGAGGTCGCTGCATTTCTTGACAAGTTAAAGTTTCTAGACCAGGGGTGAGCCAGAAAAGGCCTTAGAGAATCCCAAGCTCCTCAGTGGTTCCCCATCTATTCCTTAAAATTGTCCTGGCATGTGAAGTTTCTGGGTCCCCTGAGCTCCAGTAACAACCTCTTCCTGCCCCTAGGGCCAGAAACCAAGGGTGATCAGCAATGGGGAGAAACACAGGGCTCCAGGAAAGTTAGTTGGCAGGATCCTCTTAAGCTCCACGAGGCAAGAAGACTCCAAGCTTGTAAAAGTCGCTAGGGACCAACACACGTATTAATGGAGAAGCCAAGTCTCAGAGAGTAGAAGGCTTCCCCAGGCTCACAGAGCTGATAAATGGCAGAGCTAGAAGTTGAACTAAAGTCTTAACTTCATTTAGTTTTCACCCTGTACTTTGCCTCCTGCTTTAGCCAAGTGGTTGTGGTAGTTTTAAAATACGCTTACAAGTTTGTTACCATTCCTTTCAAAAGATGGAATTTAATTCCCCTCCCCTTGAATGTGGGCTGGACTTAGTGACTTCATTTCTAATGAATAAAATGTGGTGGAAGTGATGCTCTGTGAATCTTCAGAACAGGTCACGCATAGGAGAAAGTTTTCCTTGTTTCTTGGAAAAAAACAGCCACCATGTTGTGAGGGAGCCCAAGCCATACGTTGTGGCCACACAAAGGTGTTCTGGCTAACATCTGCTACTATCCTCTCAGCCAACAGCCAGAATGAATCGCCAGGTAGGAGGTAAACTGAGCTTCAAACCATTCTAGCCTCCAGCCTTTGAGTTTTAGATTTGGGGTGCCCAGACATGGAGCAGAGAAAATCTGGCCTACCTGAATTTCTTTCCCACAGAAATTGAGAGCTAATAAATGATAATTGTTCTTTTAAGTTAGTAAGTTTTGGGGTGATTTGTTTTGTAGCATTAGATAACTAATACTGTGGATTTCCTGAAATGACAAATAACGAAGTAGATTTGGGGTATTCATCAGACTGTAAGTACTTACAGAACACCTTCTGTGTGTCTCTCTGTTCTAGGCACTGGGGATGGAGTAGTGAACAAGAGGGATGCGGCCTTTGCCCCGGTGGGCTAATGGTCTATTAGTGGAGGAGACAGTTAAACATGATTCCCATAAAGTGCTCTGCTAGAGGGTTAGTAACAGGACACTGTGGGAATGCATACCCAGGGCAACTTCCCGGTCAGGAGGGGAGTTGGGGAAAAAGGGAGTGAGTTGGGTAAAAGGCCAGCATGGTCTAGACTTTAGAATTTTCTGGCATGTTTGTATAGACATGGGAAGGGATATGTGTCAGGCAAGGGGGCATACAAATATTTTAGAAAATGGTAAGAAATTGGAAGGGGATATGTTTAACCCAATCTCATTTTAGCCAAAATCCCAGAGAAGAAAAGTTTTTTGCCTGGCATGGCATACCCTGTGAATGGTGCCCTGATCCTGAGTCCTTCTTCAAACTCTCCCTCACTCTCTGACACTTATGCCCTGGGAACAACCTCTAACAGACACATGGGTAACTCCTTATTTGGCTTAAAGATTTTATGACCATTATCTTTTTTGGCTCTCTTCCCCAAAACTCTAGAAGTTAGGATGAATATGATTCCCATTTTACAGATGAAGAAATGATGCATCAGAGAAGCTAGGCAAATTACACACCTGGTGCAGGAGCTGGTACATTGGAGTTGCTGGGTGCAAGTGACTTTGATGATGACAGGGAGGATGATAATGATACGTAGCGCACATCACATATCACTGTTGTCGGCATACTTTTGACTAATGGTCTGGAAATGAATGCACATTGTTTTAGGGCGTCCATACGAATATTAATCTGCTCCGGCTCATTTTCTATTCTTGTAATACTGAAGCTAGAGTCAAATCTCCAGAAAGGAGAGTCTACTTGTGTTAGCTTGGATCCTGGGCCCACATCTTGACGGGAGGAGCGTGGAGCACTTTCATTAGCTTCTCTACCACAATTGCAATGGTGAAGGCAAGGGGGTGCCCTAAAAGTAAATGAGGTGCTACTATTCAAAGAAGGGCACAAAGGCACATAGGCATAGATGTGTTTATAAAAGGTAGACACGCTGTCTGCACTTGTCCAATATGGTAGCTGGAAGTTGTACGTGGCTATTTACATTTGAATTTAGTTGATGTGAAATAGAATTAAAAGTTCAGTTTCTCAGTCATGATAGCCGTATTTCCAGTACTCAAGAGCCACCTATGGCTACTGTAAGGAGCAGCACTGGTGATGGACCGTTTCCATTATGGCAGAATTCCTGTAGGACAGCACTGCTTCATGACTGCTACTTGGGATTCAACTCTTTTTCTTTTCTTTTTTTACCTCATAAATGGTGAAAATAGCAAAAAAGGTGAGTCAGAATCCTCATTCATTTATTCAACACACATATACGAAGTGTCTACTCTGGATTATCCATGGTTGTAGGCACCAGGGATACCTGGGAGGGAACTTGGAGAATTTCTAATCCAGTGGATCTCACATTAGCGTCGCCCAGGGGCTCTTAAATTATTGGTGCCTGCATCAGCAGAGATTCTGGTGAACTTGCTCTGGAGTGGGGCCTGGTATCCACAGTTTAGAAAAAGCTTCCCAGGTGATGCTAACAGGTTGCTGGGCTTGAGGACCGCTGAAAGCTGATCTGACCAACTGAGGTGAATTTCTGCATATGATCTGAAAACCTGACTTCCCCTCCTGAGGTTCCTATCAAATGAGAGTTCTCCATGGATTTGGCATCTGTCTGAATTAAATATACAAGTCTACTCTTCCTTAATCCATACAGCAGGGGTCCTCAAACTTTTTAAACAGGAGGCCAGTTCACTGTCCCTCAGACTGTTAGAAAGTTGAACTGCAGGCCCCAGGACAAGTCAGCTGCTAAGCAGGACAGGCAGTGGCGGCAAAAACACCCGCCGGGCCAGATAAATGTCCTAGGCAGGCTGCATGTGGCTGGTGGGCCATAGTTTGAGGACGTCTGTGGCCATATAGAATCCAATTCACTTTGAATAAAATACCAAAAGAACTTCTGGATTGGAATTTATTTCAAATTACTTTTCTCAAACTGTTCTTGTCTTTCATGCCTGGAACTGCATTATTCAGCCAAGGGGGTGGAATTCCTCTAAATAGCTGCCCTTTACTGAGCACCTAGTGTAGGGCAGGTGCTTCACGGGCGTGGTTTCATTCACTTCCTGGGACAA